GGTAATTTTATTTGCGTATCGTTTTCCTCTAAAGATAGCATGAGTACTATGCGCGGAATTCAAACCGAAGATGCAAAAATGGGATCTCAAAGAATCAATTTTTCAAAAAACTTAATGCTTTTATTTACAACCTGATGGGGTTTAGGCCGCGCGATTTACCAAATTGACAAGCAAAGGCAATATTCTTGGCAAATTTTATCTTATGCAATTAGGCCAAGTTGCCTTCTTCCTGTCTTGGTTGTTAGAACTGTATCCTTATTCATTGATTAATTATAATATCCACTCTGTTCTGTATCATCATTTCTTCCGGTATATTCCAGGTGCCTGCCCCTATCAAATGATTTTAGTGACGAGGCTAAGATTCCGCTTGTAGACCTTTCTGAGCCTGTTTATTGCCTCCGCAATCAACTGGTAGTCAATTTGCTAAACTTTAATCAACTGGTCTCTCATGTCTTAGAAAATCCCTGCAAAAAGACAGGCAAAGTTGAGTGTTGATATGTGATGCATCATTTGAGGGTGAAAAATCCGCGAAAAAAGTGAATATGCTTCAGTAAACTCATTTAAGCAGACACAAAGCTGGGATATACTGGTGGAAACGACGATGCAGCGAAGTGGAGCCATGACGATTGGCCATATAAAGTGGGATTTAGGGATGAGGGCACAGCGTTATGGGCTTTGACAGTGTGGAGGAGAGAGGCCGCAAGCTTTGAACAGAAAATTGGTGAAGAGTATTGTACTTGCTTGCCATGTTTTTTAATTGTAACTCGGTGCTAGGGATGCCGATTGTGCTGCTTGTGAAACGAATGGTAACCACGCCATCCACGAGTATAATCTGGAAGAAGCAGTGGCAACAATCAAATGGGACGCAGTATGGATAGAATAATTTCATTTCGAGTAAAAGTATTTGATGAAGAGACTCGAAGGTCGGTTCCACCAGAAGACAACGGCAGATTCCTCTTGACCAATATCGATTGGCTTTACTGGAAGATTCATGCCAATCAACAGCTGGTCAAGAGGAATCCGCCGTCGTCTTCTGGTGGAACAGACCTTCGAATCTCTTTACCCAACACTTTCACTAGAAATGGAAGTAAGCTCAACAATTATGAAACAAGAGATTTCTCGAAACCCAACTTTTCTTCGCATAGAATAATTTCGTCTTAAATGATTTATACATGTATACAAGGTGAACTGACCCACACAATCTCGTTTCCCACGATTCCTTCCAATAAAAGGGTAACTAGTGCCTATTATAATTATCCGATCTACATTCGTCTTCTTTTGTCTATACTATAATACTCATTAGTCACATCGACACGACTACATTTCCTGAAGCACCACTTAATAAAATGACCTTATTAAAACTGCCATTAGTTTCATTGTCTCCTCATATCGAGTAGGCTGACTTCACAAATATGGGAAAAGCCAAAATGATATTTCTATAGTAGCCACGGTTGTATAAGGGGGTCGTATAAGGAGTGATCGCTGAGTTTCCAACAAGTAAATGCAGAAACTCAACGATTCCATTGAATTATATAAAGCATTCTTATTCAGGGCAGACTGCTTTATGCAGAGTTCACAAACAGGGCATATGGCAATTTTCGCCTCTCTATAGCCCACATTTGAAGCAAAATTACTTTTCAAAGAGGCCCATGGTTTCTATTTGCTGAGGTTACTTCTATTTTAAGTGGAAAAAATGTGTTAACAACTCACCTGATATTTTACATAATGATAAAGTTGAGGGGTGACTTGTTGGTTTCAAATAGGAAGGGTATTCTATAAGGGTATCCCACAAGGATATCCTACTCTGATGATTCCTTTGTTATAAGAGTCAAAAGCTTGGAATTTTTTATCCAAAACTAAAGAAGATTCCCTTGAGGAAAGAGCCTACCCAAAGGTTTCAGTAAATTCAAGAGTAATATGCTTTTGACTTCTGGTAAAATTGGCATGCGAATCTTTGCATCACACACTTTACCATAAATGAAGATCTGCTTATCATGTATAATGTGACCGAATAATCCCACCACGTCTATTTCATCTACATCTTGTTTCATGATGAGAAGGTGAACTATGCTCAATTTAATGTTGGTCGACAATGAAAAACCTAAACTTTAAAATCCGAGTGGGTTTCGAGAATATCAGTTCTTGCTGAAAATCCACAACTGTCGAACAAGACACATGTTTTTCCAGCAAAAAGGTGAGATCATGGTTGCATGCTTCACCTTAAATGCATGAATATCGTGTTACTCAATAGGCCTAGTGTGGAGTATCCGCAAGGGCGATTCATTTGCTTCCACCGTTGAATTTTGCCCTACTTGGCAATGCAGCCCAGGCGAGATCAAGATGGCAGTTAAGCTAGGATACATGGCTTAATAACTTTTCAATGTGGAATCAAGCCTTTCTCTCAATTCATAAGGTTATAATCGGTATCAATTGCTGCAGCTCCATGCGGAATCGAGGCATAGTTATAATGAAACTTATTTCCAGGAATACGCATGTTAGAGACCAGAGGCTAAGGTCATCACCTCCTAGATGGCAGAGACATAAGACCATCAGCCTATGCGGAAGAAATGAATATAGGTGAAAAGTATAGCTCTCTTATCTAATATAAATTATGCACTAGTAAGCTAATCTTGATTTCCCTTTGCGTAAACGTTTAGGGATAAAACTCAGAAGCTCAAGTGACATAACAAGACAGAGCCTAACTACTTGCTATCAAATAAGTAAGTACTTGCGGCCTTGGTTAGAGGCAGATATAACAAACAGGGAGTTTACTTCCTCTTGCCCCAATAATATGAGCCTAAATAAGATTTATAATCACCCATTTTGGAGGAAAGAATAAGGATAGCAAGTAAGAGTAGGAGAACTTGGTTGCTCCGAGCAAGTTGAGAAAACGATGTTAAACCAGGATCATAAAACTAAAAGAGACTGCAGCCAGAAAGAAGGCCACACCATCGTGGTCGTCATAGTTAAGGCTGAGCAAAATTCAATGGAATACTAAGGTCTACACGCATGATTGTGGGAAAATTTAGCCATCACCTTGTGCGATCTAGAGTGAATAGAAGTCTAGATCAAGATTGCTTGACAGTCAAGAAACCTGCTTATTACAAATACACAAACTTAGCTAGTAATATACAAACGAGGGTTGAATAAGAAATAGTGTATAAATGGAAGATGCCTTGGAATCGTACTGTACTCATGTTCCTGAAGCTGGCCAGAATATAGAGGGGTTTACTTTGATATGGAAAGGAGATCGAGGATTAGGAATATGGGAAAGAGAGGAGATGGCTAGCCTGGGCCGATACTGCGAGGTAGGCAGAGAAAGGAACGGGTTGCTATAGTCAACAATTAAGATGAAAATGCGGCGAGATGAAGACACATGTTCAAAGATAGGCCTATGGCAGACAACAGGGTGTGCGTCCTTGTCTTGGTTCTGTGCTAGTCTGGAGGCATCAGAATACACGATGATCTGCCAATCTGCTGCCCATCCGGTGATCGGACCGGAGTGATCAGGGTTTGTTCCAGTTACCGATTACACTCTAAAACTGACATTTCAAAACGAATGTACAAGTCTACATGAGTCTGAACACACGCACACAAACAAAAAAACATGTATACGCCTAAAAACACAAGCTAACAGATACGTGCAGTGAAGAAGGACGCAGGCAGGAGCGGCCGAAAAAAGGAAATCCCTGCGAGTCTTTTGGTTGGAGACAAGATAAAGATAGCCGAGCGTGTACTGGTTCTCAGACAGGAATTGGCAGAAATTGTGTTACCACCTCGACTTCTGAGTAACCTATCAATGTTTGACCGGTATCTGAGTCCAGAATCCTATGTGCTTCGATATCTAGTGCGACTAATGAGCTTTGGTATGTATGAGATTAGTGAACGAAACGCAAATGTCACAGCGTGAGACCTGCGACCCAAGCATGGGCCAAATCACGCCCCGCTTCAAGTGAGAGAATATGCAGCAAGATCTACATCACAAAAGTATAGGCACTAGAGAAGAAGCGCCTCTATTCGGCCAGAGATAATAAAAATGTAAACCAGAACCAAGTCGCTCGGATTTACTAGATAAACCAAAGAGTAGAGTTCTGGCATTGGAATCAGCCTATGGGTGATCTCCGAAAGCACAGCACTAGGAGACATGAAACTAATAATCACCTTTTTATTTAATAATACTTAGGATATTTTGTGTCAGCAAGATTTCAAATAGCAGACATAATCACGATTGTGGTAGTGGGCGTAGTTGTGATTGTAGTGGAAGTTGTGTTCATGGTCGTGGTTATTAGGTCAGTGATAGCATTGGTCGAGGCCATGATGGTAATGACCCTGCGTGAGGCTATGCCCAGGATCGCGTCTGTGGAAGTATTTGTGATCATTTATGCGACTGTGGTTGTCATGGTCGTGGTCATGGTTGCTTTAGTGGTGGTCTTGAACCATGCCGAAGTAATGGTCATGGTGGTGGCCGTGGTGTTGGGGGTAGTGGTGAATCAAAATTACTATTAATTATACAAGTTTAAAGAATGGATTGCTTTAGAAAATGTATGTACGTTTTAAGAATACTTGAAGAGAGGGTCATCACACAGAAAATCGTCATCAGGTCATGAGCACCCAAAAAAAAATCGAAACAAGTTCGAGTGTATCTTAGCGACAGATTACCACTCCTCCAAATAGCCCGGCCGCCAGTAAGTAGCAGGGAAACTGCTACTTTCAAGGTAATTCTGGCCCCATCTAATTCACCCAAGCCCTAACTCTACAATTAATGGCATTCTTGAGAACAATTCTAATTGAATAGCACACTTCCATTTATAGACTTATCATAAATGCAGCCCTTAGCTGCGCTTCCAATTGTGGAAGAAGGTTATTGAGTTTATGGGTCATAAGTGGGACATGTTTGATCCGACCGGTCTGAAAGGGGAAAAAGTTATCTCAAAACTGTTTTACGTAGGAAAAGCAGGATTAAACAAGTAGCTCGAGGAGACTTGGTCAGATGGTTTACCTTAGCTAATATGGGTTCCCTGAATTTGACGCTTTCGCTAGTCATACCCGAGCATATCACTGGCATAAGAGAAGCTGCCTTTCGAGAGAGTTTTGGCGGAATTAGGTTAAACAATTTTTTAACGGAAATTGGGCACAAATGCAGGTAAAATAATGAATGGCTGCCTAATATGCCAATGTATGCAATAGTGGAAAAACCACAGTAGCTTGGTATTCACACAGTCGATATTAAGTCGAAATAAAAGCATAAATTGAGGATGAGACCCTCCAATTAGCTGCAGTGGACAAAGTTTCAAGTGGTGCTGTTTAACCAGCTGCCTTAAATTAGGCCCCAGAGGCATTCATTTGCAAAAAACGACCAAATAAACCGACATTCAATTTGTTTAATATCAGACCACTCTCTTAGAAAATTAAAGTTTGCCTCATCGACAATCACACTATAAAAATATGTGGGAAAGGCTTGGCCTGCCTTGAAATTCACGTCTGCCCTGCCACTCACTGGCGCCCATGAAAGTGTGGCATAGTGGCAATATATCGAGATTAAACGTTGCAAGAATAAGTGAAATGCATTAGAAACATTAGATTTACTCATATCATTGTTGGAAAAGTCAACTATCAGTCCTTCATCACCTTATGCAGCCTAGGATGACTAGAATTCTTATTCTGCATTTACTGATAGATTCGAAACCTATTATATATGAATACAGCCTAAACCAGGCATATCGGCCTCGTTTAGTCTACGTTAAACTTAGTACAGTAAAAGCGACACCCCATTTTATCCTAGCATCAGAGTCCTAATTGTCGGCTCCAAAAATAAATTAATAGAAGGTATGAAGACCAATATGGTGTGGCATTTTGTGTAGTCGCAGTCTCCTTTCGTTGTATAGAAGTTGTTTGACCTTGTTTTCGCAACTCGGTCATATTAGTAGGAAGACTTAAAGGAACACACCTAGTCCATAGTCCATAGTATACATCATCATTTCCAGAGTAGGACCGTCTGGGAATGTACAACGTCCACGGTCCTACTCTGGAAATGATGATGCATACAATGGACTTCGGACAAGGTGTGTTCCTCTGAGTCTTCCTACCAATATGACCGAGTTGCGAAAACAAGGTCAAACAACTTCTATACAACGAAAGGA